AGCATGACACTCTCCAGGTCCTTTATGCTAAGACTTCTTATTTTGCAGCCAAGTAGTAATCTATTGTGTAAATGTACCACAGCTTTTTTTTTTTTTTACCTACTCATCTACTACTGGGTACTTGGGCTGCTTCCAAATCCTGGCTATTGTGAATAACATTGCAATGAACATCGGGGTGCAAAAATTCATATTTAATTTAGATTGTAGCAAAGACTTTCTCTTTAATATCTCCTAATTCTAAAATGATTTTTAAAAGTTATTTTTGTCTATTTGTTAGGTTATGGAAAAGCAGGACTAGCAAATGTAATAAGTGACTATCTTTGGCTGTTTGTTTATTTTAAATTAACTTTTTGGATTACCTATTGGGGAAATAGTGCTTCCCTAGGCATGTAAACTTTTATTTATATATACATGTAGAGTTTATTACCTGTGAAAATGTAACCAGAGCTTAGACATTCAATACTTATTCATTGAGTGAAGAGATAGTATTGTGAGCTCTGTTAAATAACTAAAGTTAAAGAGTAAAAGCTTGTTGGTGATTCTATATAACCTCTATTTCCTTACATAACTGATATTTCTCCAAGTTTTACACTAAAACTTCTTCTACTTTTAATATGCCATAATTCTTATTGGGTGCTTTCTTTCATGATCACTTTCCCAAACTTCCCAACAGTGCACACACTGTCTCATTTTATGTTTCCAAACTTGATATTTTGGAGTTTAACTAATCAAGCTTTTATAGAAGTTCAAGTCATCAAGCTTTTATTTTATGCCTACTATGTGTATTTCGTTGCACCCAGAAGCAAAGATAAGAAAACCTAGTGCTGCCCTAACCAGTTTGGCTCAGTGGGTAGAGCGTCCGCCTGCGGACTCAGGGGTCCTGGGTTCGATTCCAGTCAAGGGCATGTACCTTGGTTGCAGGCACATCTCCAGTGGGGAGTGTGCGTGTGTATGAATCCTCACTCAAGGTTATTTTTCCATTGATATTTAGAGAGAGTGGAAGAGAGATGGAAAGACAGAGAGAAATATAGATGTGAGAGAAACACATCAATTTGGTTGCTTCCTGCACACCCCTGACCAGGGTGCAGGCCTGGGAGGAGCCTGCAACTGAGGTACGTGCCTTTGACCAGAATCGAACCCAGGACCCTTCAGTCCACAGGCCAGTGCTCTATCCATTGAGCCAAACTGGCTAGGGCCCAAATCCCAAGTTTTTGATACACTTCTCATTGAGTGTAGGGATAGCATATTAAAATTTCCTATGGAAGATGCATAATTTTAGAAGTTAACAAGTGATTCTAATATGCTCTGCCTCCCACTATTAACCAAGATCTACTGATGAACAAGGAATAAATAATACAAGGAAGCAAATTATTGGACTGGTTCCACAGAGAAGGATTTTGAAGGAATCTGCTATCTCATATTTTTGTGGGGGTTTTATTCCATCTCATTTCAATATATATTATACTAGAGGCCCAGTGCATGGATTTGTGCACCTGTGGGGTCCCTCAGCCTGGCCTGCAGGGATTGGGCCGAAACCGGCTCTCCAACATCCCCTGAGGGGTCCCAGATTGCGAGAGGGCGCAGACCAGGCTGAGGGACCCCACTTGTGCATGATCTGGGCCAGGGAGGGACCACAGGAGGGCTCCAGGGCGTGTCTGGCCCATCTCACCCAGTCCCGATCGGCCAGATCCCAGCAGCAAGCTAACCTACCGGAAAGGGCATCTATCCCCTCATGGTCAGTGAGCTTCCTAGCAACTGGTCAAACGGTCAAATGGTCTGAGGGACACTTAGCATATTAGGCTGATGATAGATAGATAGATAGATAGATAGATAGATAGATAGATAGATAGATAAGGACTTAACAAGTGCCAGACATTATATTAAGTGCTGAGGATAAAATAATGAGCAACATTCCTGCCTTTGTGGAGATTATATAACAGGGGAGAAAAGAAAACATTACAGATAATTATTTTGATCACTGCTATGCAAGAGAATACAGTAAATGATGCGGTTATATTCTGAGGGATATTGGTTATGATATCCAAATGTCCTTATGATGGGAAAATGCAGGGAGTGCAGTCCTTATTATGAGAAAATGCAGAGTCCAAGTGTGGCCCCAAACTAGCATTAGTCAAAATATTTTTCATATGATCCGGCAATTCCACTTCTAGGTATTTATCTAGGGAAAAAAAGAATTCAAAAAGTATTTGCACTCCCATGTTTGTTGCAGCATTATTTATAATAGCCAAGACTATGGAAACAACATAAAGGTCCATATGTGGATGAAAAGATAAAGAAAATATGATACGTGTACAAAATGGAACATTATTCAGCTATATAAAAGAAGGAAGTCTTGCTATTTGTGACAATATGGATGGACCTTGAGGGCATTATGCTAAGAGAAATAAGTCAGACAGAGGAAGACAAATACCATATGATCTCACTTATATGTGGAACAAACACACACATACACGCACACACACATACACGCGCGCACACACACACATACACGCGCGCGCACACACACACACACACACACACACACAAAACACCCTAACTCATAGCTACAAAGAAGAGATAGGTAGTTACCAGAGGCAGGGGGTGGCAAGGCAGCGAAATGGGTGAAGGGGGCCAAAAGGTACAAACTTCCAGTTGTAAAATAAATAAGATCTGGGGGTGGAATATACAGCATGGGGACTGTAGTTAATAATACTGTATTGTATACTAGAAAGCTGCTAAGACAGATTTTAAAGGGTTCTCATCACAAGAAAAAAAAATGTGTGGAACTGTGCATGGTGCTGGATATTAACTAGACTTATTGTGGTGATCATTTCACAATATATACAAACACTGAATCTTTATGCTATACAACTGAAACTACTATATTGTTATATGTCAATTATAATCTCAACTTTTAAAAAGAATTTTAAAGCTTTAAATAAAACAGCATGTGTAAGCACCTAGAATGAGGTGTGATAACTGGTTTAAAAATTAATTTATTAATAATGATATTTTGCAGATAGTATTGGTGAGGAGGAAGAAAAATATATTTGAGTTGAAAGAGAGATTTTTCCCCCAACCTAAGACTTATCAACCTCTTTTAACTGTTCCTCTTTGCCTTTCTTTCTTCAGTTTTTTTTTTTTTCACTCTTCTCACCCCCACAAGAAGCCAACTGTTAAGGAAATTGTCTTTTTGACAAGCATCATTAAATGGTAATTCTGGAGAGTCAGGGGAATAATTATGGCTTCTCTCCACTGAATATAAAAGTCTCTCTTGCCTAATAACAAGAAAGAAAGCACCATCCATTTTTATTTGTAACAAGTACAAAACAGATAGTACAGACTCCATGTGAACAAAACCTGTGTCTGTACGACTTTGAATTCTGCACAATTCCTTCCTTTCATTTGTGAAACTTGTTGACCTTTTAGCACCTTACTTATGTAAAGTGCTGGGGATGTAGAGAGGAAAAAGACATTGCCCCTGGCCTTCAGGATCTTGTTCCAGAGTGGGAACAATGTGTAAAATAAATAATTAAAGTACAGTGTGGAATTGCTATCATTGAAGTATGTACTAAGAGCTGTTGGCGTACAGGGGAAGGAATAATAAACTCTGCTTGAAGAAATCAGAGGAAGCCTCACAAAGAAAGTGACATTTGAACTGAGTCTTGAAAGGATGAGTAAGAGCTGGCTCTCAATTATTTGTCAGCAAATATACTTTCCTCTCTTTGCTGAACCCTTAGATTCTTTCACCTTCCCGGCAAGGTCATGCATTGCTTTTTAAATGAACAATTTAATTTTTACTGATAACCTGTGCTATTGCTGTGAAATAAAATCATGAGCAAAGTTGTAGATAGAAACCAAGACCTGAGATTGCCGGAGGGGAGGCGGGGCTTTTCCTCTGTGGGCGCTACGGCTGTGGGAGAACAGTGGGCATGAAGAGCAGCAGTACTTCAATGATTCGTTCTGTCATTTCTCTTCCCCTATAGCCATCAGGTTTGGGCGGATGCCACAGGCCGAGAAGGAGAAGCTGTTGGCGGAGATCTCCAGTGATATCGACCAGCTGAACCCAGAGTCTGCTGACCTCCGGGCCCTGGCAAAACATTTGTATGACTCATACATAAAGTCCTTCCCGCTGACCAAAGCAAAGGCGAGGGCCATCTTGACAGGAAAGACAACAGATAAATCAGTTAGTTCTCTTCTACCCTCTTGATTTGGGGTGGCTGGGCTTATTGTTGTTGTTGTTGTTCCCTTTGAGGAAATGATTAACCAGGTTACACACATACATGCAGTACTGTTCATCTGTTGGCTGGTACATATTGTAGGCTGGGTGTTAAGCACAGGAAAGGAAATGTCTTCAGATAGGGTAAGTAAACATTATTTTGAAAAGGGAAAAAGTCCTTCAAATTCTCCTACTAGATTCTTTGAGAAAGTATAAAAATATGCGAGTCAGCTTAACTTTAATGTATGAACTCAAGCCCCAATTCACTCCACCACCCTCTTTCAGGATCCAGCTACATTCACACAGGCCTGCTTTTCGGACCTAGCTTTTGAAAAGGTATTCAGTCTCATTATTTTACCTTTTAGGAGGCCCATTAGAGTTACCTCTTATGAAGTTCCACATTGGGCAGAAAAAGACATTCCAGATATTATATTACCTTTCTTTCCTTGTAGTACTCTATTAATAATTCCTGGATAACTGGAAGCTTTTTGCTTTTATTATGTGTATGAATTGTATCTCCTGTGAGGCTCTGAGCTGCCTCGGCTACACCAGTGGAGAATCTAGTGAATTCTCAAACATCTGCAAGCTCATTGATTACCACTGTATAGAAAACCCAGTATGGATT